GCTTCACAGACTCCTAAATAAAAAAAAAAATAATTGCACTTTTTTTTTGTTTACCCAAAAGAAATGTGTATTTTTTTTTTTAAGGTGAACTTATCTTTTAATTTCAGCTGACTCAATGTCAATGTCTATGTCTACTTCTGATATCCAGTTTTTACTGAAGGTAATTTATTTTATGAATTTTTCTATCATATTCTCATTTGGAATTGTATAGTATGGTGACAACATGTAACTTACAGAGGAAAACATGGAACTTCTCTATAGAAAAGGTTCATGTGCAGCATTAGATCTTCATTTATACATATAAAACACTTATTTGGCAGCATTCTCTGGAGTTTCTGCATACAGGTTGGGCTGATATGTGGAAATAAAATCAGAATACAGCTAATAAATAAACTGCCGTTCTGTGAAATCTTCTAAACTGCTGAACAGAGGATTCCATCCTTTGATGTTCTTCTCTACATGTGCTTAGCGGTGCAGGAATATTTTCATTGCACATATAACCTTCTGAAAGGCAAAGGGGGAAATTCTGCTAGGACCTCAGATTTTTACAAATGAGAGCCAACAGTAACAGGCCTTCATCAGTTCATCACACACTTTATTCAGTGCCTAAGCAGTCAGTTAATAAATGTTGTCTATAATGTTCTAAACGTACTGCTTGAACCTGAATGCTAGACAGATATAAAAAAACTCAAATAAATGCAGATCTGTAATCATTAATACATCAGTAAACATATTTTTAAATGCAAGCAGTGTAAGTACCTGAATTTTACCAGGTATAGGCCTCCTGCAGCGACAAACAGAGATGTGCTTTCACTGTTCTTGTTGGCAGGCATTAATGTCCTTTAATTGTTGCCCCTCCTGTAGTGATGTACAGTTGCAAGAAAAAGTATGTGAACCCCTTGGGATTACGTGGAGTTTTGCATGAATTGGGCATAAAATGTGCTCTGAACGTCATCTAAGTCACAACAATAGAAGAACACAGTCTGCTGAACATAATACTACACAAACATTAGATGTTGCCATGGTTTAATTGCACATAACATGTAAAAACATTCACAGTGCAGGGAGGAAAAAGTATGTGAACCTCTGGATTTAATAACTGGTTGACCCTCCTTTGGCAGCAATAACCTCAACCAAACATTTCCTGTAATTGCAGATCAGACCTGCACAACGATCTGGAGTAATTTTGGACCACTCCTCTTCACAAAACTGTTTAAGTGTAGCAATATTCTTGGGATGTCTGGTGTGAATCGCTCTCTTAAGGTCATGCCACAGCATTTCAATCGGGTTGAGGTCAGGACTCTGACTGGGCCACTCCAGAAGGCGTATTCTGTGCTGTTGCAGTCATTGTTTTGTTAAATTACTTGTATGCTTTGGGTCATTGTCCTGTTGCATCACCCATCCTCTGCGGAGCTTCAGTTGACAGACAGATGGTTGTACGTTTTCCTGCAAAATGTCTTGATAAACTCTGGAATTCATTTTCCCATCAATGACAACAATCCGTCCAGGCCCTGAGGCAGCAAAGCAGCCCCAAACCATGATGCTCCCTCCGCCATGTTTTACAGTGGGGATGAGGTTTTGATGTTGGTGTGCTGTGCCTTTTTTTTCTCCACACATAGTGTTGTGTGTTCTTCCCAAACAACTCAATCTTGGTTTCATCTGTCCACAGTATATTTTGCCAGTAGTGCTGTGGAACATCCAGGTGCTCTTTTGCAAACTTCAAACATGCTGCAATATTCTTTTTGGACAGCAATGGCTTCCTCCGTGGTGTCCTCCCATGTACTCCATTCTTGTTTAATGTTTTCCTTATTGTAGATGTATCAACAAAAATGTTAGCATGTGCCAGAGATTTCTGTAGGTCTTTAGCTGACACTCTGGGATTATTCTTTACCTCATGCAGCATTCTGCGCTGTGCTCTTGCAGTCATTTTTACAGGACGACCACGCCTAGGGAGAGTAGCAACAGTGCTAAACTTTCTCCATTTGTAGACAGTCCGTCTTACCGTGGACACATGAACATCAAGGGTTTTGGAGATACTTTTGTAACCCTTTCCAGCTTCATGCAAGTCAACAATTCTTGATCGTAGGTCTTCTGAGAGCTCTTTTCTGCAAGGCATGGTTCACATCAGACAGTGCTTCTTGAAACCAGTAAACCCAAAACAGGTGTGTGTTTTTTAAGGGCAGGACAGCTGTCAGCAACACATCCAATATCATCACACTGATTGGAGTCAAGGTTGGCTCACTCCTGGCTCCAATTAGCTCTGGGAGAAGTCATTAAGCTAGGGCCTCACATACTTTTTCTTCCCTGCACTGTGAATGTTTGTGCAATTAAACCATGGCAACATCTAATGTTTGTGTAGTATTATGTTCAGCAGACTGTGTTCTTCTATTGTTGTGACTTAGATGACGTTCAGAGCACATTTTATGCCCAGTTCATGCAAAACTCCACGTAATCCCAAGGGGTTCACATACTTTTTCTTGCAACTGTAATGGGTGGAGATAAGACCACTTTATATGCCAGCTGTTGGTGGAGCCTAGACACTTGGGGTATGAGAGCAGGACACCCCATGATCAGCAAATATGTAGTGCTGAAATGGAGCTGACCTAAAGAATGCTCTGCGGGGCTGAACTGTCAGGGTGGTAAGGGAGGAAACCTGGGAGCAGACAGAGAAACCTTAACCCCCCCCTTTACTCTCCCCCAGCAGGTCCTCTGGCTTGGTTTAGAGGGGCCCCTGGGCCTACAGAAGAACCCCCTGTATGTGAGTAAGGTTTACCCTGTGAGCAATACCTATGCTAAGAAACTATATCATCTGGGGAAGATGGCTACTATTACTTTGTGAGACTATGAAGAGTTCTGCACTTGATGACCACTGTATGGAGAGTTATGATAATGAGGAAAGTGTTCTGGATTGTGAACTTCAATCACTGAGTCATGCTCTACTGTTGTATGGGAACTATCTATAACATTAAGAGATGTACTAGATAGAAGTAATGCAGTAAAACGGGTAAAATGCATTTTTATTGGACATTTTGTCATTCTGGGTAACAGGCCTTGGGCCAGGAATGGGTGTATGGTGTAGGTATCACATTATGGTGGAATATCTCCAAGAACAGTTAGATGACCATCCCATCCAAGAAGAAGTGGGGTGGGTCCAGCGGCAGCTTCACGCAAATTGCCGACTTATAAGAGGGGCCCTTACATAAAGCTTCTCCTTTTACTTTCACAGACTGAGGAGGGTCCAAGATGACCTGAGTTCAGAGGAAGCATGCTGAATGATGCTGGCCATCAGACTGAGGATGACTAGTGGCATAATGGCAGAAAAAAACTACTACTACTACTACTTCTTGACATGTACAGTAGTAAGTGACCAACTGGGTTTTGTCTGAAGGCTACCAATGTGAGTACTGCAAAGGAAATCTCTGGATTAAATGTTAAAAAATAATTACAGGTATAGATATTTTCATATAGTTACATTGGTCCACCTTGGCCCAATGTAACTATGTACATGTGGGAACCCTCTATAAGCTGGAAATCACTGTAGTAGATACCCCTACTATAATGATCTGTACTAGCTTCTGGTTCCTGAGCCGATTGATTGCCCTGTAGCATTCTGAACACAGGAGATTGGTCGCTGGGCACGGGTGCTATTCAGAGAATACTTTGCATCTGAATTAATGCAAAGCATTCTGTGATTGGACGAAGTGGAGAGTGTGGCGTCATTGCCCTGTCTCTCCACCCTGACCAATCAGCAGCCAAGGCAGTAGGCCAGTCACTCTGTATGGGACCTAGAAACTAGTGAATATCACTCTAGTAGGAGTGCTTACTACAGTGATTTCCAACTTCTAAAACAGGAGTCTCCAAACTTTCCAAACAAAGGGCAAGTTTACTGGCCTTCAGACTTTAGGGGGACTAGACTGTGGCGATTGGGAGTAGAGAATGTCCTGGCATTAATGGGTTTAAATAATGCATATTTGATATTAGGAGGAGGAATAGCACCTCATTGTTGGTGTCAGTAGGAGAAATAGTGTTCCAGTGTTGGTGTCAGTGGGAGAAATAGTGCCCCATGGTTGGTGTCAGTGGCAGGAATAGTGCCCCATTGTTGGTGTCAGTAGGAGAAATAGTGCTCCAGTGTTGGTGTCAGTGGGAGAAATAGTGCCCCATGGTTGGTGTCAGTGGCAGGAATAGTGCCCCATTGTTGGTGTCAGTAGGAGGAATAGTGCCCCCTTTTTGATGTCAGTGGGAGGAATAGTGCCCCATGGTTGGTGTCAGTGGGAGGAGTAGTGGCCCATTGATGGTGCAGTGGGAGTAATAGTGTCTGTTGTTGATGTCAGCAGCAGGATATATGCCCCATTGTTGAGGTCAGTGGGAGTAAAAAGTGTCTTGTATCAGTGGGAGGATACAGCCAAGCAAAGGGCCATAGTTTGGAGACTACTGTTCTAGAAGTATCCCACAGATATGGTATATACATAGTTACATTGGTCCAAGCTGGACTAAAGAAACTATGCTAAAATATCTAAACTTGGAGTTCTTCTTTAACATTATTCCAGAGACTTCCCTCCATACCTGAAATTCTTCTTTAATTTAGCAGGAGAAGCTGTATTATTTAATCTATTAACTGACGATACATTTTCATCTTGTTATTTTTAGCTGGTATTGCCTGTAATGTTCTTTAAAGCAAGCCCTTTGTTTCTGAAGCTACTGCACATGATATGCTGCTGTGATTGTCTCATTTCGGCTATAAGAAGGTGGGAGGACAGGTAGCACAGTGACTGGAGAAGAGAGCAACTTCCACTAGCTTTATAGGTGACTTAAAGATTTGGTACACCTGTGCCACCACTATCTGAGGTGCCTGTGTCCTCCTTATAAGAGGTAGGTGGAGAGGTATGAAGTGGGTCACTGTGGGTATTGGAGCAATAGAAAGAAGCATTGAGGGAGTGAAAAAAAGAGAAGAGTGATTCTGGAGGGAGAAGAGAGAGAAGGAGCAAGAGAACGCGAGATTGGTGGTATTGCATTAAGAATGCGAACCTGGATTTATTGAGCATAAAAGAGTGAGTTTATTGGTATCTGGGGTAAAGAAGGGTGAGATTTGGGGGTACTGAAGCAATAGGAGGGTGAGCTTAGAAGCATTGCTTCAACAGGTGGATAACTATGGACAGGGGCGGACTGACAACTCATGGGGCCCCCAGGCAATAGGGGATCATGGGACCCCGTGTCCTTGCCCAAACTCAAAAAAGCCTATGAAGAAGGTACCAGGGGCATCTCATGGGGTCCCCTACTGACCCCAGGCCCTCGGTCAGTGCCCGAGTTTCCAAATGGTCAGTCCCCTGACTATGGAGGTATTGTTAAAAGAGAAGAGTACACACTAACAGAAAATTGTGCAAAAAATACCGCTTTCAAAGCGATCATACATTAATCTGATCATAAGTATCATAGCATTATTCGAAGGGACAAGCACGAAACATTTTCTTGTACGATACCAGATCGTATGATTTTCATTCAGTTTTGGTCAAAAAAATACAATAAAAATACATTTTTATTCTGTCCTACAAGAAATTTTGTAACTTTAGCAACCTCTTCATTTTTGATATGAGACTGGCATGCAAAAAAAATGGACAATCATTCGGATGATATTCCTTGCAGGCCTCAAGAACGTTAATTAATTGAGGCCCTAAACTTTGATATAGATAATTTTAGCTAAACATCCTTCTATACTTTTTCAGCTGGGAATTGAGATTCTTTTGGTTGTGTTTATTAAAGATAACAGTTTAAAAACTACAGTATTATAAGGAACAAAATAATTTTCCCCAATTAAACTAATAATTTCTAAAATGACAAAGTTACATTAGTTTTATTAAAATATATATCAGAACCCGTATTGTAATAGCCAATATAATGGAATTTGTTTCAACTAAAGTGAAACTAGCCAAACGTTTTTTTTAACTTTTGGATAGCACAGGAAAGAATTAGATCCACTGTTAAATTTTGACAGTTTTCTGAATCCCTATTCGGTAGATTTTCAGGTTGATTTACTAAAGGCAAAACGTGCATCCCTTTTGTGAAATTTCTCTTAGCTTAGTGACTTAGGGGAAACTCTGCTGACTTCCATCATCCAATCATGTCCAAGCAAAAACACTGTTTTTTAAATTTCCTGGCATGTGATTGAGCATTCATTGTAAAGTGAATTTTCACCAAATTTACTAAGCTATGTTAAGAGAAAATACCCTTTCAGAGTTTACAGCTTATTTTCCTTTAGTAACTCAACCCCATTTGTCTTACGTCATACTCCAGTTGTGTCATCAGAATAGAAAGTGAGGGCAAATCTCATCAGGACAACACTAACAGAGTGTTTCTTTAAAAATTATTCTTTCTTTATTATTTTCCAAGTTACAAACAATTTACTGTTCTACAATTACCCCCCCCCCAATCCCCTTCTCTTTGTGGTCCCCTTTTTTTTAAACCCACAAATTATCCCACACAAGCTGACTGATTCCTTATAAAATATAAAAGTTAGCATTCATAAACACATTAATGACCTCTCCCCCTTTATTTTTCCATTTCTCCTTTTCATATCTTATTTCCTTCTTCACCCTTTTCTTTTTCACTTCTTATCTTAAAGTGCTTTTCTGAATCCTAAATAAGGGCAGCTCCTTTGACTTTGTTACAAACTCATGCAAGGTATCCTCATATGTATGCATTATTTCTCCTATGTCACAAATATAGTCTACTTTCAAAATCCATTCCTTTATACTTTGAATTTTTTGTGATTTACAATACTTTAGAATCAACCTTTTGGCTGTATTCAATAGATATGGCACGAGGGACATCTTTTACTGGGCAGCTGACATTTCTTTTTGATGAAGGAACCTCCAGGAGTCCATCTATACTCTTTTTCCTGTTATTACTTGAATAATAATGGAAATTTCTCTCCAAAGCACCCATATTCTCTGGCAGTGCCATTAAATATGCCCAAAGGTTCCAGGTTCATCACAACTCCTCCAACACAGAGAAGACATCTGCCCCTGGAGCCTGGGAGCACTAACTGGAGTGGTGCACCGTCTTGCTAACACCTTAAAGCACAGCTCTGATTCCCTCAAATCAACTGAGGAAAAACTTGCCACCTTCAATATTGGAGCTCTCTGATGTTCATTCTCCAGCAACCCCAATTCTTGCTCCCTATTGCCTACATAAGGTGGTATTTTAGTTTTGGCTTCTAATAATATACTATATATTGGTGAGACATAGTGCCCCTTACCACCTGATGAACTGAACAACTTTTCCACTGGCATTGGGCTATCTACAGGACTTATTAGCTGGGGTAAGGACTTTACAAAGTGCTTAATTTGTGCTTATCTCCAAATATCTAAGGGTATCATACCCCATTTCCACCATAAATTGTGCAGTGAACATAAATTATTCCCCTTCATAACCTCCCTAACTGTAGTGAATCCTTCCTTTCCCATTAAATAATCATGTTTACCTGGTCAAAAATTGCTAGTGCCAATTAGTGAAATCAGCAGAGAACTATTTCCCCATTTAAGTTGTTTACAGTATGTAACTCATACCATATTCTCAGTGCATTTCTCATTAATGGACTAGTGATTCTATTTAACTCCTGATATCTTTGTGGAACCCATATCACCTTATCTAATGCCACCTGACTTTGTGAGAATTCTAGCTTCACCTAGCAATTATTAGAATTGTTATGTGCCCATTCCACCAGCCTTACTACCTCCTGATAGGGTTTTTTTAAAATCAGGCAGTGCCAATCCACCTTCCTCATTAGCTTTTGCCAAGACTGTGTGAGTAATCTTAGAATCTCAATGCAGCCATATACATTTCAGGACAAATGATCTTAATATCTTAAAAAAAACACTTGTAAGACAATGTAGAGCATCTGGAATACATACAGAACCCTAGGTAGAATTCTCATTTTTACTTTATTTTTTCTGCCCATCTACAAGAGAGGCCTGTACCGTAAAAATCAGGTCCTTCTTCATGGGACTGAGCAGTGGAATATACTGTAATTTGCTTTATATATACTTTCTGTATACATACAACCCAACACAGCTTATAGAAGGCTTTCTCTTGAAGCTTTTCATCTTTATCTATCTTCATCTATGCTCATCTAGAGCACCAATGACTTATATACAGCAATGGAAACCCCATAAATTCCAAAACTAAAGAAAACTCTTTGTACAGACTTCCACTTCAAGGGGTTGCTGTTGGAAACTACAGTTTTAGAGTTACTGTAAATCCTAATTCCAGCCTCACTCCTCCCCCTAGAGACATCCCCCCTCCACATGTATTTTTAAAATCTTTTTTATACTTTCCTTCTTTCAGAAGCTTACTGGTCGCCACTTGAGACTCAAGGTCCTATTACTCTCTCCTTCTTCTTTGTCACTGGGTGGTCCTCTACGATGCAGAGAGACACATTTACTGTTCATCATTGCAATGTGAGTACAGGATGACTATCCACAGGAAGAGGTTCTGTGACACTGGGAACCAGTTGAGTTTGCAGGTGACAACACTAGAGAGGAGGTGATTTTTTCAAACTGAGTTGAATTTTTTAACTTTATAATTGCTAAGCTGATTAAAAAAAAAATTCAAATTGGATTTGGGTTTTGAAATATCCAAAAAACAATCAGAATGACCACTGCTATTAATAAAAGATTAGCGTACCTTTGAACAGGCCATAAAAGTCATTACCAACATTTGTTCTTTGAGTTTTTCATACATTTTAAATCTTGGTGTGTCATTTCCAGATGGTTTTTTATTTTTCTATTTTCAGACAGCACATTTTTTACACATATTAGTCGCAGATGTTGAGTCCAATATTCTATGCATAAGCCTATAATGGTTAAAACATGTCTTGTTATATAAATGTTTAATTAGTTTGATAAGGATGAGGGTTATCACAAGTCTGACTTTGATCAAGCACAGTTTAAGAAACATACTACTACTAACATTGTAAATACTAACAGCAACTTTGGACAAGAAGGGGGGAAACACATTAGTATAAGATACAAAAAGGGTGCAAGAATTGGGGATCTTCCCAGTGGTAAAAAAAAATGTTATTGATGCTCAGAAGTGTTTTCTGAGGTTCAGCAGTCAGATCTCACTAATAAGAGATTAGCACACTCTGTTACAATTTGCCAGATAGAAAGACTTTTAACCTGCACTGTCTGACTGCAAGGGTGCTGGTTCTCATTTGTAAAATGTTGGAGAAAAGAATTCCAGTATATGTTGGCCCGCACATGTTTATGATATTGAGGTGTCATTAATTCCAAGAACCTCTGTCACTTTCCATTCTATCACACAACATAGCAAAATAATTAAAATGATCCAGAGTTTGAACTCCTACAGTGGGGATCGAAAGTTTGGGCACCCCAGCTAAAAATTTGTATTAATGTGCATAAAGAAGCCAAGGAAAGATGGAAAAATCTCCAAAAGGCATCAAATTACAGATTAGACATTCTTATAATATGTCAACAAAAGTTAGATTTTATTTCCATCATTTACACTTTCAAAATAACAGAAAACCAAAAAATGGCGTCTGCAAAAGTTTGGGCACCCTGCAGAATTTATGGCATGTATATTGGCTGGCTACAAAAAGCGTTTACAAGCTGTGATACTTGCCAAAGGGGGCAGTACAAGATATTAACTCTGCAGGGTGCCCAAACCTTTGCAGACGCCATTTTTTTGTTTTCTGTTATTTTGAAAGTTTAAATGATGGAAATAAAATCTAACTTTTGTTGACATATTATAAGAATGTCTAATCTGTAATTTGATGCCTTTTGGAGATTTTTCCATCTTTCCTTGGCTTCTTTATGTACATTAATACAAATTTTTAGCTGGGGTGCCCAAACTTTCAATCCCCACTGTATGCTTCTGACCCGTGTGTAGTAACAAATGCTCTTGGTTCCATCTTAGTTTTAACACGAACACATCAAGATAGAAATAGTAGAGCTGCCATTGCTGACTTGCCTATAAATGTGCATGTTCCAGGACCGTCATCCTGAGCCTTCCTATATGGTGGGTCACTGACATTGAACAGGCATGTGTGTATATTAGGTGTCCCAACACCCTACATACATACAGTATTCATAGTCACATAGTAAGTCAGGTTGAAAAAAAGTCCATCTAGCTCAACCTTTAGAAAATTGAAATAAATAGAAACCAGAACTCCGTATACAGAACCTGTACCCACAGTTCATCCAGAGGAATGTGAAAAAAATGGCTGTAAAGCATAACCCAATTTGCTCCAGCAGAGAAACAAATCTTTCCTGATCCCCTGAAAGCAATTGGATAATCCTTGGTCAACAATCTCTGGTGTTGTTGATATTGGTGAGGTAGGATGTGTTTTTTCTGTTATACAGATGAGAAGGGAATTGGGAGTCTCAGCTTGTAACTCCTAGCAATCATCATAACCTTATACT